CCCCCAGCACCACTGCAGAAACCATGTGTGTGTTAGTTACTCATTTTGCTAGCTGAGAATCGGCCTGTCATCGTGAAATCCGGAGCCGCTCTCCTGCTCACTCCCTGGGGCAGGGTCTCTCAAAGGACAGCCATCACTCTCCAGAAGACCCCTGGCTGCAGGATGGGGACATCCACAACATCCGCCACCATCTGTGAGGTGACAAGTAGGAACTCCCTGCCCAGGGGCCAAGACACAGCGAGGCTGACAAAGTCGACCCAATAGACTTGTGGTGGCAAAAAGGTGTGTGTGTGGTGTAGAGGAGGTGGGGTCAAAACGCCCATAGGCACTCCTGTTGTCGCTGGGGCTCCTGGACATGTTGCCCCGGGGTGCTGCAGAGAGCATGGAAGGGTGAACAGGGTGACAGTGGTGGGAGCAGTGCTTCAAACAATGGTAAGAAGGACACTTCATATGTACCCAGGACACTCATAGAGCAAGGCCAGCTCTTGGCCACATGAGACAGACATTCTTGTCTGTTCTAATACACTTCATGGTCCACCGAGTCCACCTCATCACCCACCGGTTATCAAACTCTACTAAAAGCCCCTTTAAATTAAAGTTCTATGAGAAAATGCTATCTGGTCAAACACCTACCTGGCCTTTTCAGAATATCCCAAGAGTTTTAAAACAGGCAAGCCCATCTATCACACTGTTCAAGGGCAACTGCCGCCTCTAGCTCTGCCCCTTTTCTCCCTGTCTCCCACTGATGCAGCGCCAGACAATCTGACAGAGGCCCCCAGGCCTCCTGGTCGCCTGGCGCACACTGGCAGGAGCCCTGGAAACACTGAGTGTTTTCACAGGGCCACAGTGGGGGCGCCCGTCCTCCCTCACCTGGTCAGCTCTCTTCAGTCCCATCGAAGCCCTGATTTCTCCTCCTTCACGAAGCTACACAACCACCGTCTTTCTTCCCGACACTGACCTGTGTTTTAAAACCATGTCCCCTTTGGGAGAAAGACGAGTCTTTCACATGGACATTCGTGAGCTGTACTTTGCTTATATTTTAACTCTTAGTTCTCACTCCACAGTGAGCTCCCTCATCAAGCTTGTGCCATTCCTTCTCGACACCTTTCTAAACTCCGCACAGTCAACAAGCAAAGTTCTCTGAACTGATGCTGACCTCCGGGAGGGTGCTTTCGCTTTGTACACAACAGGGGCAAGATAGCTCAAAAAATTTCTGGAAAATGCCATTACCTAGTAATTCCATTTTCCCAGAAGCTTTTGGAAGTCCACTTATAGACACTTTCATAGCATTCAAAACCCAGTGGTGTCCCCCTCCCACCCACATCAATAAGCAAGTGTCATGGTAGGGAAAGTGTGCAGCATCATCTCAGCACGGGTGGCATGCTGAGCCGTGGGGTGACGTACAAAGTTGTGTGTTGTCAGTGGCACGTTCTCCAAGACCTCTACGTGCAGCTCCTCGCCAGTGAGCCAGGAAATGTCCGTGTCCCAGCCGATGGGCTTCTTCTCCCTGCAAGGCAGACACGTCTCTTAGTTCACGCACACCCTCACATGGACCTCAGGCCCAAGAGCTCACAGCAGTTACTCTGAGGGCTGGCAGTGGTGAGCAGGCGTGACCTCCAGCCCCGGGCCATCGCATGTTTCAAAGGCAAACACCTGAGTGCCCATGTTTACTCCCACCCCCAGGGTCACTGTGGACACACCGCTGGAGCTGAGAGAGGTTCCTCTCCTTCAAGTTAGCCCAGCAGACAGTGATGGTTGCTGGGTACCCCATCCCGGGTCGTGGACTAACTACCCAGTCAAAGAAAAACAGTGCTAGCAGGACATGATGCCACTCCCCACCCCACCAATTTTCGTTTTTGTTTTAGTTTTAACAGGCCTTAAACTTGGGGGACTTAGCAGTGTTAGACCCCTTAGGGAAGAAAGCTCAATCCGCATACAATTTTTGCTTTGATAAGCCTCTTGTGAGGCTCCAATATGATCTCAGAAATGAGTCCAGTATTGGAACAAGTACCATTTCATGTGGCTCAAGTATCTATAAGGTTTCCACGGGCCATGTAAAGTCATGTAATCAGTCAGACATGGCGAATTCGTTAGTGCCTCACAGGCCCTACAGTATTTACTTATGCTAACTTAATATTGATGTAATCTTGTTCTCTAAAGTCAATTTCCTGAGGTTTGGGTAAAAACCCTTCACTAAAGTCCCAGTGTCCTGCCTGACCCCGCCTCTCCCTGCAGCACCAGGGTCCAGGTCCCAGACGAGCCATACCCGTCCTGCATCCTGTACACCGCACAGCACTCTGGGATCAGGCCCCGCATCATCAGGGCCTTCTTCAGGCTGTCTCGGACAGTCACGCCACACCTCGCAGGGACCTGTGGTGTGATGAAGACAGAGGTGAGGGGAAGGGACCAAGGACCTCTTCCCCACACCACTGAAAGCCAGCACAAACTGAGCTCCACCAGCGACCTTCCTAAGAGGACACCTGTACACACCACGCTGGTCCCGCGAGGAGCACAGCCTGGTTTCCACAGCTGGTGCCAAACTTGGGGGATTATGAACCAAGTCTCGATTCACCAACTCAAACCAGGCAACATTAAGTTTCTATTGAGCCTTTCACTGAAATCATAAAATATTTCTAAATATGGAGAAAACAAGACTCCTTGCATACCCTGCACAATCCACTCGGATCCCACCGTGTCTGTAGCCAGATGTTGGCAGGTCTTTCCAGGACTCCTTCCCGACCCTCCCCCAGCAGGAAGAAGGGACCCCAGTGACTGGGGTCTGGCTGCCCAAGACCACCCTCTGGGCCCCAGCCTCCCTGAAGCACAAGTGGCACTAGACAGGTGGAGGTGACTAGCCAGCTTCCCATAACCCTGGCAAGAGTAACTGGCTCCAGGCAGGACAGGCAACCGGGCCAGCACCAGAGTTCTTCCCTCAAGGACCCCACATAGTAGGTAGTAAAGCAAGAGGCCAGGCTCCTGGAGGCCCAGGTGTCACCTCCCTGGCGCCTTCATAAGCGGGGAGAAGCAGAGTTGAGACATGGGGAGGAAGGCGCTTTCTCAAGAAGGTATCCCATTTCTGGCTTTGTCCCTACTCTTCTCGCAGGTGGCTGAGGGTTCTGACAAGGCAGTCTGTGCTCTGGTGAGGCTGTGTGGGGCCTGCGGTTCTCACTGGGTTTGAGTATGTGGAGTTAGGAGCAATTAACGCCAAGTGTCCCACTCTTCTAACCCACTGATGCTTGCAGTAAAGCAATGTTCCCTGAGAAGCTGGGCTCACGATCTTGAGACGTGCCGTGGTCTCTCCCCAGATGCGGTCAATCTGATTCCTGTGTATTCCAACTAGAAGCCCGCGTGTTTACGCTGGGGACGAGGGCATTTTCAGTGAAGACGGCGTTAGTCTAGCAAAATTCTACCATATGGTCTCTAGCTGCGTTTCTGGTACCAACCATTGATCCCTCCTGGCTCCCAATGTTCGAATGTCAATTGCCAGTAATTAGCAATACGTACTGATGGTATGCTCGATTGATTTCAGATGGAAGAAGCTGATAGAATTCTCCAATTTCTTCACCATTGGCTTTAGCGGATGACTCACTAAAGCTTGAATACTACTTGTATTCTCTGGTTTTCCTCATAAAAAGGAACACAGACGCAAGCCATAGAGCTGATTCGGTCTCACAGTGCCCCTAGGACAGGCAGGACTGCCCCTGTGGGTTTCCGAGACTCTAACTCTTTACGGAAGTAGAATACGAGTGGCTGGTAGTTTTGATTTGCCGACCTCTTTGGTTAGCAGCCCTGCGTGTAACCACTAAACCAAAGGCCTCCCTGTCTCCCTCATAGGGATATAGATATTGAAATATTCTTTTCGACGAAAAGTGGAATGCCTCTCCTCTTAATCTGTCATTCCTGGGATAATAAACTTGAATTATCACATCATTTGATTACAAGATTTGTGAAAACCACTAAGGCTTTTATGCTGACTTGCTGATCCTAATTAAAAAAAAACAACACACAACAAAAACCCAAAAACTGAAGTGAGTCAATTACTAGCTCCTTAGCACCCCAAGGGAAGAGAAGCCAGCAACAGCTAAGGAGTGCTCTCACTATTGTGGACAGAGATGTTAGCAGGAGTCCTGGAGGGTGGCACCTCCACGGCTGTCCTGTCACCTGGTAGTACTGCTCTGCCGGCCTCGAGCCCCCGCAGCTTGCCGAGCAAACGAGAGGGTAGCTGTACACACTGTCCCTCTCCATGGCCCTCAGCACGAGCAGTCATCCTCCTCTTTCATCACCGGGGCAAGTGAGGTTTCTGCTGCCACTGCTACAACTAAAGGCAATGGTTCTCAACCTTCCACCTGCCGTGAACCTTCAGTACAGTTCCTCATGTGGTGATGACCCCCCAATCATTAACATTTTTTTCGTTGCTACTTCATCACTGAAGTTTTGCTACTGTTATGAATCGTAATATAAGTATCTGATATGCAGGGTTTTTTAGGTGACCCCTGTGAAAGGGTCATTGACCCCCAAAGCGGTCACAACCCACAGGTTGAGAACTGCTGACTAAAGGGGAGGCAGTTATTACCTGGGACGCTACCACTACCTCCAGTCTAGCTGGCCCCCTTGATCATAGCTTACTTCATAAAAACACCAGCAGAGCTGCGGGGAGAGTTGCTGGTGTTTGTTATTTATATGTCTACCCCCTCATCGGTGTGTGGGGGTGGGGGAAGACAGAAACATAGTCCTAACCCCTTCCATTCCACTCTCAAGTCTTTAGCACCTTAAGGGCAGAATCCAGAAGCACCCAGCATGGCCCCCGCTGTCCCTGTCTGCCTTTCATCTATCTTACATGTAATCAACAGACCGTGGGTTCAGAATCCCCCCACTCCCAACTTCAGAGCAGCACCCAAAGACTCAGTCTTTCATGAACAGGGGGGACACACTGATTTCACAGAGCATCCTTCCCACAGACGGTAAACGAACTTAGAAGGTTTAGATCCTTCCAGGCCCAAGGAGTTCTCTCTTGACCTTTGGAGCAAAGGTGGGTAAAACCCCTGCCCCAGGCATTCTCCTTTTAAGTCTGTAACTTGTAAGACGGGGACAGAATGTCCACTGCAGCACTGTTTCACAGTCATCAACAACCCCAACATGACCACCAGGGAGGAATGGGAAAGACAGAGTAACTACCGACAATCTGGATGACTGACTGCAGGGCCAACGAACCTCAATGAACCACTGTGGGGGTGTCACCATGCACGTCGGAAAACCGGGTGCCGAGTTTGTAAAAGATCAGGGACTTTTCCCAGAACCACCTTGAAGCCTTCTTGTACATGCTTTTCGGAATAAAAAATAGGCTCTTTTCCTGTAAACCCCCAGATCCTGTAGGGGACCATGAGTCAGAATGCACTTCATGGCAGGGAGTGTACAGATTGATGGACTGTCGTTGTGAATAAAGAAGACAAAATGCTGAAGGGATACAGTTGGCCACAATCTTTAAAAATGAAAAACCCTAACAAAATACTTGCTGTTTGTGGATGCATATATCTGTGGAGACAGTATTAAACTATGGATGCAATATACCACAAATTCATCAGAGAGGCTGCTTCCTGGGGAAGAGGACGAACAGTGGGTGCTGGGTGGGAGAACAGGAAGGGTCACGGGAGCCCAAGTTTCTATGTAGTTGTGTTTGTATGGTGTGGAACCAACATAGCAAACAGACAAAAACCTTGAAAATGGAACACCTGTTCCTATTACTTTTTCATACATATATATTTACATTTTTTCTAAATAAGAAAAATTAAGAGATGAAATTCTGACGATTTTATCTTTGAATTTGGAGTTCAAGAAGGCTCGAAGCAGTATGGGAAAAACATGTCTGGGTGAAGCTATCTCATGCAGAAGGAGATGTACACAGGACAGGCACACGGAGCAGGGCCCACGGGCCCAGGGCCACGGGACTGTTTTGTCCCCTCTTCCTCGCAGAGCCAGGCACAGGCACGAGACCTGGAGTCCACCAAGTCGTCCGGCTTAAAGCGGAGGCTGATTTCTTTCTCGGCGCTTCTGACCAAGTCACTGCCGTGAAGGATGTTCCTGCCCCGCCCTGAACACAGA